TTTGGTTGCCTATTTAAGTAGTCCGCTTATTACTAAGTTCTACACTAGATGTCATACCTGCAACCCGACTAGGGGATATATATATTATATTATATATCATATTATTACAAATTATTATATTATTATTTTTTGCTAATAACCAATCATCAAAAATGTTTAAATAGTAGATAATTACATATTTTATATCAACTATATGATGTATTTATTAAACTAAATTTCAAAAATAATAAAATTAATATAATTATTATATTGATTGATCTTGATTAAATAGACTTAAATAGCAATTATACCAAAGTCTTTTAATAGTCTTATTAAACTCTATTTTCTTTTAGGCGAATGATTTTTATACATCAAATTCGTATACATCAATTTTTTTGACCAATAAAATTTTTCATACCAAAATTTGACAATAATTTGCATACATCAGTTTCATATACATCAAAATTTATAAGCGGATAATTGTTATTTTTTTTTATGAAATTATTAAAATATTTCAGCACGTCAAATACTTAAAATGTTTCAATTAGTAATCGTGATCAAAAAATTTTTTAACCAAGTGGATAAATTTTGGTTGATCAGGCCAATATATATGAATAGCGACAACCTTTCTTTTTTTTTAATATGTGCATATAAAATTGACCAGCTAATTTTTTTTTAAAAGAAACAGCTGACCAGGACAAAAAATTGTCTTAGCTGATTTCCTGGTCATTGGTCAGAATTATATATATAGATACAGGTCGCAAAATTAATTAATCAATTAATTACAATACTATCGTATTGTTATTTTGTTATGTAGAATTTTAAAATTTATTACAATTATGAAACAAGCAGTTATACAATAAATAAATAAATAAATAAAGTTGCTTCATTTCTTGTTTGCATTTTCAATATAAATATAAGAATTTTTATACCTGCAAACCATTTTACAATATACATTACCTTTTTATAATGCTAAATTATTATTCACTTCAAAATTAAGCTAAAATTCAAATAAATTATGCAAATGCAACATTTCTAGGCATAAAGGCCTTAACAAAAAAAACAAGTAAGACAACACATGAATCTAAACAAAGAAATTATACCAATCTTCAGAAAAGCCTAAACGACGACAAATAGGTAAATACTGAGGATTTAAAGGCAGAACCTGTATGCTCTTATTTTGTTTGAGCTTAACCAATACAATATGACTATGCCCATGCTAGTGCAAAATAACAGGTTTTTTGTGATACCCAAGTTTTTGATCAAATGGTAAAAAAAGAAGACTCGACGTTGAATCCTTACCAAATGCTACTATTGGCACATTAAATGTATCTGATGCTAGCTATGCGCACTCAGGTACGTAAAACCAGTACTTTTGTGTGCATTCTTGTTGAGTACATGATAAAACAGTCATCAACCGCTTAGTATCATATCCAAGTATGTTATTATATAAATATTGCTGCTTAGCCAACCAAGATTTCATAGTAATCTTAACATCTTGCTATTTCTCTTCTTCTTGAAACAAAGCTACAGATAGTGACTGGAAACTGCAATGACTATCGCCAAGTGGGTTGTGCATCTACAATTATATGCATCCAAATTATTTTGTGGCTATGTAGTTATATTTTGAGCAATTATATATAAGCAAAAATTTACTAAGAAAATATATTAGCTATTTGCAGCCAATATATTTTCTCGTTAAATTTTTATAGATACTTAATTATACAGGGCACAGCTAATTTATTCCCTGCCATCCACGTAACTCTACTAAAGATTAAAATATATAGAAAAATTGAATACCATATTTTCGCGAATAATGGGCATGGACATTATCTAGAAAATTGTACCCTCTAAAAATAGTATACATAGTTTCAAAATAATATCTATGCACGTTCCAAAATAATATGCACCCTATATAAGGATTTCAACTAATACTTAGCATTAGGTAAAAATCGTATCATTGTCTCAAAACAACGTCTCTATACGTATACTATAACGCAATATACTCAAAATAACGCATAAATGGATGTTATTTCACGAAAATATGGTATACTAATACCTAGTCATAAATAAATAATCTAATATATTTAGTAGTAGGATAATAAACAAAAAATGAAACAACATGGATGGATTAGTCAGAGGACAGTTTAGTAAGTAGTTTCGCAAGCTATAAAAAACTAATTTTGATAGTTATAAAAACTAATCTTAGCAAACTAATTACTAAATTAAATACTTATTAAGGAACGAATTGACATATATATATATGTTTATACATACCTGTAATACTGCATTTTGAGGAATGTGTGTATCAAGTTCTATACCAGTATCAGTTAGATATGACAATGCTATATCCTTTTTAAATTTTTTTTTTTAATCATAATTTCATTAGCTCCAAGAATACGCTTGTTGTTAGGAGTACAACCACGACTATGCTTGACTGCAGGCATTTTAATTTCTTCATAGTTCGTAATATCATCAACATTAGTTTATTCAAATTATTATGCTGTAAAATATTTAAATCTTTTTGTAGCTTCAGTATTTTGCCATCTTCGAGAATATATTCTGAAGCACTTTGCATAATATTCAATAATACATCATGGTGACATTCTGGCAACTTTTTGAAAATGTTAGTAGCAAGCTGTAGAATACGATCAACTTCTGTATTATGTTGCACATGCCAACGTTGATGAATTTCACTTGATAGAACGTAAGTATGCAAACACAATATATATACCACAATTACATGTTGGCATGGTGTTCTAGTACGCTGTGGATGCATACATATACAAGTACTTGGTGTTCCAATATACACCATACATGTTATACTTACCTTATCATCTAATTGTATAACCTCATATATATTATCGCAGAATTTTAAAACTCTATATTTTCCAGATCTTACAAGATCTCTTTGTTGCTTTACATAGGTTTCAAATGCAAATCGTGAGCATACTGTACGTAACATTTCCAAACCTATATCTTTATCATCTTGTGTATGTCTATTTTGATATACAAATGATTCGTATAAAAACTTTTGAGAGTTTTCATGGTACTGTTGCCATATTATCGCAAGTAATCTATTATACAGTATAATAAAAATCAAACAGGTTAAAATTTGCAGTTAACTAATGCTTAGAGGCTAGACTCGTCAACTCAAAATTCAAATAATAACTCGAGTTACTTGAGAATTAAATATATTTAGTTTTAATTTACACTATTTTTCAATAAATTTCGTGACTCGAATGACTCGAGTCTAGTCATTAATTAAAAATATTAATACTCAAGTTATAATTCAAGTTTCAAGTTGATGAGTCCAGTCTCTACTAATGCTATATTTAACTATGGATATAATGGGTATAATTAATAAAAAAAGTTTGGTGCTGAAATTCAAAAACATAATTAATAACAAGTAATATTGATATTGCAATTTGCTTTTTTGAATTTTAGTATCTAACAAATTTTTATTTCATTTCCTACCTATCAATAGATGTTACTCGATTTTCAATACCTTTCAATTTACTATATAGAGCTTCAACACAACTAGTTGTCCTAAGATTAAAGTTTATATTTTTTTTTGTATACAATGCAAGCCAACTTTCTTTGTATAGCATCTACGTATTGCACATATACTTTTTTGTACTTGGAAATCGGTTCCATAGTTCTATAATTTCTTGATTTGTTTGATGTTCTGAAAGATCATCATACATAAGTTTTTGAATTACTTTAATAAATTCATCCATATCAATACTCTTAAGCTTTTTTCTCATATTTCTAAAAATATGCCAAATGCATAATTGATGTTTTGCATTAGGAAATACAGTAGATATTGAGCTCATAAGAGCCAACTCTCGATCAGTTATAAACATTGCTACATTCGAGTCACCTGTCAAAATAGTTAGTGTTTTATATAACTGTTGTAACACCCAACTATAAAATTCTTTCGTCTCTAAATAAACAAGGGCAAAAGCTAAAGAGTATATTAATCTGAATCGGTTGATACTGTAAACAACAATCATTGGCATTGAAAATCTATTAAAATAAATAAATAAAAATAATAAATAAGTGACCCATTAAAGAGATAATAATAATAATAATAATAATAAATAAATAAATAAGTGCCCATTAAAGAAAAAAATAATAATAATAAATTAACAAAATAAAATTGCAAATGTTTAGAGATTATACCTGTCAAAAAATTATACTTAGTATAAAATTTACAACTAGGTACAATCTCTACAAGAAGTTGAAATTAAAAAAAAACCTGTTTGTTTTGTATATCGTGTCTATAATTAATATGTCTTTAGCTATTGCAAACTCAAAGACTGCACTTCGGTAAGCCCAGAAAATTGCTCGCATAAACGAACCATCTTGATCACGTTCGTCATTATATGCAGGTTGAGTTGCTATGCTCGACATAATGTTTTCATCATTTTGCAAAGTCTTGAGCAACAACTCGATTTCATTTAACCCTTGCAACTTTTGTTGGCGTTGACAACTAATAGCATTATAGATGTCATGTTTATGTACATACTTTGAGCTAATAGAAGCTAAAACTGCATATATGTCTTTTATTTAAAGTCCATTATCATAAAGCTCTCCAATCATGCCTAGTTTATTCGGACTAAATTTATGTATGTTGCTACTAAACTTTCTAGAATCTGGATTAATTTCATAATTATGCTCCAAGCATAATTTTGTTATGACAAATTTTTTTATACGCTTGCGATAATTTAACCCAACAACAAACAGGCAACCTGTCCGCTTAGTGGTATATGCGTTTTCTTTTTTACCATTATACTGCCCCTGTTTTTTACAAACAAAAAAAGCTTGTCTATAGCTGCTATCATCTTTATTTTTAGTTGTTTTTGCCAAAATTACAATAATATTGGTCTGTGCAGTATAGTTTTCTATAAATACACGAGCTTTTTCAAAAGTTGAAAATCGAGCTCTGCTTTAGGAACTGTAATGGTATTAGTATTCATATTTAAAAAAAAAATAATATAAACTGAGAAATCAGAATGATAACTAGCGATAAGGGCCAATGAATGATATATTAATGAAAAAAACGTAAATAGATAAACAAGTATAATAAGGTGACAAAAAGCGAAAGATCACCGATAAAGTGTGCTAATGAAATACCAAAGTGAAAGAATATACAAAAAAAGAATATAAAAATAAAAATAACGTGACAAGTATAGTAGAGCAACGAAATGTGAAAGATCAATGATTAAGTGGCACGAAATATCAAAGTAAAAATAAAAAATTTAACATGAATGAATTGGTAAGTAAGCAACGAAAAGTGAAAGGTCAACGCAAAGTTTGTCAATGAAATACTAAAGTATAATAATGTAATAATATTAAGAATTTAATCAATTTAATTAATCAATTAATTAATTTTGATATACGCATATATTACGAAACTGATGTATGCAAATTATTATCGAATTTTGTATATGAAAAATGACACTGCAATTTTATTGGTCAAAAAAAATTGATATATACGAATTTGATGTACGAAAATCATTCGCCTTTCTTTTATTATGAAAAATTTTTTTTATATTAAAATTTAACTTTTTTTATATACTTATAGTCAAATAATTTGTTTTTTATTAAATATCTATTATAACTATATTATAAATTTAGAGTAGTATAAAAAACTACTCTAATGTAATAATAATAATATAAGTACTTAAATTTCTAAAATATAAATAAATTTTTGTACTATACAAATACCTTAAATACAAAATATGATTTAAAAAAAAGCAAAAACCAATTTTTTTAATTTATAACTTTTATATTTGCTATTGTAAAGATAGTTTTTTCTTGTTTTTTTTGCAATACTTTTTTTTTGTTATTATTTAGTAAATACAATAGCTGAAATTGAACTAAAATTTGTGATCTGAAATATTAAAAAGAAAAAAATAATATAAATCTATTCTATACTTTATATATATAAAGAATACTTAATATTACTGTAAATAAACTATGCAAAATTAACACTACTGTATAATATAGACTACAGCCTCAATATTAAAGAATTTTTATAAAAATTTTTCATAATTAAATACAAATACTTGGATATTTTACAAAATAATATCCAGGTATTAACTATATAATATATATCATTTAAAAAAATATATCTCTTGAATAATATCCAGATACTAATCTAGATTTTGATTATAGAATATACATATTATATTTAATTGATGATCTGTCTATTAACTGAAGAAATCTTCATATGATAACGTGATAGAGATCACTATATGCGGGATATGAATTAAAATTTTGAAGGTATAAGTAAAGTTACCAAATTGAAATAAATTTTTATGTAAGAGTAATACAATCAAATAAAGCAATACTACAAGCATCTAATTTCAAAATTACAAAATCTAAAACGTTTTTTATAAAAAGTTTACCTTGGGCGAACGTGGTATTTTCTATATTTTATATAGTAAGATTACTTAACTATATATCATCATATACATACAATTAACCTTTTATTTAATATATATATTTTTAATTCTAGATTTTTTTGTATGTTTTTTTACAAAAACATTTTAGAAATTGTGAATCCTGTTTTGACGATGTTTAATAGTCTGTAAGTATATAGATTTAAAAATATTATCATTATGAGCAAATGGGTGATACCAAGAGAAAGCCTGATTCTGATCATATAAAATTTATATAATCAGAGTCAGGTTTCTCTTAGTGTCATTCAAATACAAATACAAAGAAAATAGCACTAACATATATTAATATCTATTTGACTTAGATTTTTCTTAACAATAGTTTTGGATCAAACGTCAAAAAGCATTAGCATGTGCACTTTACAAGAACACTAACTTCATTTTTTTTTTGGCAATAGTCTTGGATCAAACGTCAGAAAAGCATTAGCAAGTGTGCTTTACAAGAATACAAACATTACTTCGACTTCACTACACTAACTTTTTTCAGTTTTTTTTTAATAATAGGCTTGGATTAGACATAAGAAAAGCATTAGCAGGTACGCTTTACAAAAACACAAAATATAACTTTGATTTCACTGTACTACACACTATACTAACTTTCTTGAAGGTTTTTTTTTGTTTAATAATAGTCACAGATCAGATGTCTGAAAAGCATTAGCAGATATACTTTACAAGAACACCAAACTTCACCTTAATCTTACTATACTACACTAATTTTTTTTTTAATAATAGTCTTGGACCTGACATTTGAAAAGCATTAGCAGGTGTGCTTTACAAGAACACCAAACTTACTTTGAATTCACTACATTATGCTAATTTTCTTCAGAAGTTCTTTTTTTTTTAACAATAGTCTTGGATCAGATATCAGGAAAGCATTAGCAAATGCACCTTCTTAGGTTTGTTTTTGTTTAATTATAGTCACAGATCAGATATCTGAAAAGTATTAGCAGATGTGCTTTACAAGAACACCAAACATCACCTTGATCTCACTGCACTATACTATTTTTTTTTAATAATAGTCGTGGACCTGACATTTGAAAAGCATTAGCAGGTATGCTTTACAAAAACACCAAATATCTACTTTGAATTCACTATATTATGCTAATTTTCTTTGAAGGTTTTTTTTAACAATAGTCTTGGATCAGATGTTAGGAAAGTATTAGCAAGTACACTTTACAAGAACATAAAACATTACCTTGACTTTCACTGCACTACACTAACTTAGGTTTTGTCTTTTTTTAATAATAGTCACAGATCAGACATCTGAAAAGCATTAGCAGATATGCTTTACAAGAATACCAAACATCACCTTGATCTCATTGCACTACATTAAATTTTTTTTTTTTTAATAATAGTTGTGAACAAGATGTTTGAAAAGCATTAGCAGGTGCGCTTTACAAGAACACCAAACATCACTTTGAATTCACTACATTATGCTAATTTTCATCAGGAGGTTTTTTTTTAACAATAGTCAGATCAGATATCAGAAAAGCATTAGCAAGTGCACTTTCTTAGGTTTTTTTTTGTTTAATAATAGTTACAGATCAGACGTCTAAAAAGCGTTAGCAGGTATGCTTTACAAGAATACCAAACTTTACCTTGATTTTACTGTACTACACTATTTTTTTTTAATAATAGTCATAGACCAGACGTTTAAAAAGCATTAGCAAGTGCATTTTACAAGAACACCAAATATCCATTTTGGATTCACTACATTATGATAATTTTCTTCAGAGGGTTTTTTTTAACAATAGTCTTGGATCAGACGTCAGAAAAGCATTAGCAAGTACGCTTTACAAGAACACAAAACATTATCTTGACTTCATTGCACTACACTTAGATTTTGTTTTTTTTAATAATAGTCACAGATCAGATATATGAAAAGCATTAGCAGGTGTGCTTTACAAGAACACTAAACATCATCTTGATCTCACTGCACTACACTAATTTTTTTTTTTTTTTTTAATAATAGTCATAAACAAGATGTTTGAAAAGCATTAGCAGGTGCATTTTACAAGAACACCAAACATCACTTTGAATTCACTACATTATACTAATTTTCATCAGGAAGATTTTTTTTAATAGTTTTAGATTAGACACATTAGCAAGTGTGCTTTCTTAGGTTTTTTTTTTTTTGGTTAATAATAGTTACGGATCAGCTTCTGAAAAGCATTAGCAGATGTGCTTTACAAGAATACCAAACATCATCTTGATCTTACTTCCACTTTGCTAATTGTTTTTTTTTAATAATAGTCTTGGACTGGACATTTGAAAAGCATTAGCAGGTGTGCTTTACAAGAACACCAATCTCACTTTGAATTTACTGCACTATGCTAACTTTCTTCAGGTATATTTTTTTTTAACAATAGTCATGGATTAGATATCAGGAAAACATTAGCAAATGTGCAGTAAGA